TAATATTACATTTTCCTTCACAAAATCAAAGCAGTATACTTTCTAAATTAAAAAGCTTTCAGTGGTTTCACAAGTTTCCAGAAGATGATCAATACAGTGATCATATAAAAGGGTTTTAATGTATTATAATGTCACAGCTGTTAGCTATAAAATTTTGGACCTAGCAGTGCTGACAAGTTTGCACTGAGGGTAAGTGTGCTCTGCGGTCCACAGGTAAAAGCATGATTTCAGACTTTTGGGCTCAGTCTGCTTCTTTCTTTCCATATGGATGTCAGACAAACATGGAGTTAAAAAAAAAAAGAAATTGCTCAGGAATACCAACATAATTTTTGCAGCCAATTTTGGAAAAAAAAAAAAAAAAAAAAAAAAAAAATTTAAAAAAAAAAAAAAAAAAAAAAAAAAAAAAAAGATAAGCTGTGTTACCAATATTTATTCTCAGACATTTGCATCATGTAGCCTCCTAACAGTAACTAACACACATTTCTTTTCAAATGTTTCTTTTGGGACTGAGCCAACAAAACCAAGCAAGACTATAGAGAAATGTCAGCCCTGAAGACCAGACATGTTTGCTGGAAGACCATGCTTTTAAAAAGACTTCATGAAGACTGTTTATATTATTAGTGGAATGCCATAGCATAGAAAATTCCATGGGGGAAAAAAAAGAAGTTGTTTTCACTCTAGATATGCTTACTAGGGAAATTTAATCTCTGACCAATGGAAAGGTCAAGTGCAGGCAGCATTAATGTCTTTTTAATTTAGGTAAGGGAACAGCTTCTATTTGTTTCAGAGCATGATGCTCTTACACCGTTTCTATAGTAAATTTATAGCTATTGTGAGAAAGACAAACTTGCTGTAACAGAGCACATTTAAAGTGAAACAAAGCCTCCTTTGCTGTAAGGTGATGGATGCTTTCTACTGATCCCATGTTTATTGGGTATATGTTAATTCTTGACATCAAAGACACAACTTTTAGGCTTGGTTCAGAAGAAGTGTTGGCAACATGAAAAATACTAGCACAGGCTTTTTAGACAGCTTAGTTCCTGCTTAAGATTACTAAACAAAAACCCCACAGTTTCTCAGTGGATTATATGGGGTTATATGAGATACAACTATGTGGTGTAACTAGACATTACTTCAGACTACACTTCACCCGCCTGGACTAACCAGTTCTCTTTTTCAAAGGGAAATGTGGAGAAAGATTTTTGAAACTTCAAACTTTCAAACATTTTGACAGTACTTCCAGCATTTTACCAATCCCTTCAAAAGTCAGGGCTCATTTTAACAAGATACACCAGATTTGTGCCTTTTTTTTGTCATCCTGTTTCAATTCGCAGGACAATGGTAGTGTGCCTTCCAAAAGCAGAGATACTGTTCTGTCTTCAGTGTGCTAGTACAATGTTTCTGGCCTACTGATGGATCCAAGAGCTCCTGCTTGCTTCTTCATCCTCTCATAGCATTTGTGGAGACACAAACAGTCATGCAACCCTGAGATCAATACTAGACTTGGCAGTTGGCAGAGAGATTTCAAAGCATTTTAATTGCTCTTTTGAAAGTGCAAGAAAACTTCACAGCTAGACTGTCTTGGCAGAATCTTTAAAGCACCACAGTTTTCAGATGTGAAAGTTTGAGCTTTTTTTTTTTTTCCACTCCTTCAATAGTCTGTTTGTGAACCAGAGCACATCCATTTATTAGCTGTTTCCTATTATTAGCAGGAAACAGTTATTTTAAAACAGAAAGCATACTGAATCTATCTTTTTTGACTGTCCCTTATTGCCTCTGAATTACACAACTTACATAGTGGAATGTCTTTCAAAGACAAAACTTCAGCACTATGGAAATAAGAATGGACTGGGTGTTGCTTGTTGTCTGTGATTTCACAAATTGTCTTGAAACTGTTTGTCATGCCTGGAAGCAAGCTAAGTGACAGAAGAGCCAAGATGATAGAAAATCACAGAGAATAAATGAATTATATTTGCTGGTTTTTCCATTTTTTTTTTTTAATTCTGTTGCTTTTATCCATTCGAAACAGACATAGCTTTGTAAAGTGCTTTCAGATACTCTGCCCTATACTAATGAACATTGGTTTTTAGTTGTGTAAATCAGAAAAAAAAATCCAAGTAAACCCAAGGGAAAAAAGAACCCAGCTCTGCAAAATGCTAGAAGAGCAGATCTCTTTTTACCGGACAAAGATTTTGCAAGACTAAGGTCAACCAAGTCAAGAGGAAGCTGGAACAAATATGTAAATTGTTTAAAAGCAAAATTAATTACCCAATGGGAATATTGTTTCTAAGGAGCACTGAACATTCTCCATTGTCTAAACAGTGAAGTTTTAGTTCAATTGCAAGTTATTGACTTTAGGAGATAATCAAATTTCATGGTCTGTCTTAAGCAGGAAGTCAGAGTAAATTATTATCTTTTGGCTATCAAGTTCTATTAATACAATTAAGGAATCTAAGTCAAATCTAAATATTTGAAGATTTTATGCTGCAAAAATAAAATCCAAGGTGCTTGTGTTCCTGGATATGAGAAACACGACACCTGGAAATTCTTGTTTCCTTCTAACAGGCTCCTGACCTCCCTATTTTGTAATTCATACTCTCCATTTCCAGTCACAAGACACACAGGAATAAAAGCTTCTAATCACATACAGGTTTTATTTCACCACTTCCAGTAGTAGGCTTTTTTTCTGCCAGCTTTGATTCCCATTTAAATGAACTTTTTAATCATGATATGATAAATCTATCATTGATGTAATTACTCTTTATCCAGTATTACAGCTGTCAGTGGGTGGGTGACAGCTACAGCCTGTATTTTCCTTGAAGTAATTTCACCATAACTCTAGTGGATATTTGAGAAGGTATGTTAAGAATATTTTTGAATTTCCTTCATAGTAGAAAAATTTTATCTGCATCTTGGCCTACAGCCCAAAATCTCAGTTGGAGAAGAAAAGGCTGTATATATTGCACATTCATTACATTCAGAGGGAGTATACATCCTGATGTTTAACTTCCACACCAAGGAATAAAGGTAGAAAAACTTTCAAGAGAGTCACAGTTTTACACCAGGGAGTTAGTTCTGTTCCCTAGGTTAAAATAATGTAATGTAAAGTAATAAAACCTATTTTGAATTTACAGTTGACGTTCTTTTTAATGGTACACCAAGAAAAAATTTTTTCCAAGATTTTTTCTTCAACCTTTTTTTTTCAAACTATGCCCACCAGTCATAAGCTGGGGAAAGAATTAAAAAACGTAAAAATGGTAGGTCAGCACAGCATTGCCATTTGAGGGTTTGCCTCTGTTTTCCATCAAGCTATCTGAAATACCCTGGTTGATCTCAGAAGCTGAACGGAGAAGCCTTGTTCTTGGTAACCACACATTTCTTCACTATCATTCTATTTGAATAAATCATAATGTCCGAAGCAAAATATACATAGCTTGTTTTTTAATTTTGAGGGACACAGACATCCACTGTGTTGAGAAGTAATAGAGCTAACCACAAAGTACAAACTGCCACTTTCAATTTCTCAAGTTTTTATCTTTTCTCCACATTTGGTCTTGATCAAGACTGGACAAGACAGGTCCACGGAAACATGGCTTGGAAGAGCAGAACCTTATTGGACTACTACTTTATCTCAAAATGAACCAAACCAACATATGTTGACTGCTGCATATACTAGCTTTATTTCTTCAGAATGTGTAAAAGATATTTTAAATAGGGAGCCTATATTATACTTGGTAAACATTAGTTTCTTCAGTGAGGGAATTTTATGCTTTACTGGCAGTAGGAATACAGACATGGCAAGACGGGACACTTTCAGATAATGTATAAGTATCAATATCTCTTTCACTTTCTGTAAGCTGGAAATACGCATTCATTAATATGTTAAAGTGTCCAGTTTGATTCTATTTCTTTTATTCTTATTTTTTCTTTACTGTGGAAGGATAAAATCTTATTTCTTTATCATTCTGAAGCAATTAAAAGAAGAATCTGGCTCCTAATCTTCCGCACAAAAGCATGGGCCGCAGGAGTCTCAAGACAGAGACTTTCCACACAGCAGTTTATTCCTGTTTGTCTTCTCAGATGCTTCCAATATGAATGACTAGCCATAGCTCTCAACTGTACTAGTAAGCACAAAAAGGTTAAAGCAAACTCTTCTTTGTAAAACAGGAAACTAAAAGACAGCAGGACACCACATTCTCTAAGTAATATTTGATAAAACCAAAGTAAACTTGTAAAGGATGAGAGTGTGCATACAAAAGCAAATAAGGACATGCCTTCTAGCATGTTGCCTCCCGTAAAATGTTTCACCAGTGCCCTCTAAATCCCTCAGAACTTCAAGGTAAAAATTGTCAAGACTTCAAATTCCATTTTTAAAATTACTCTGCTGAGGAATTTTGGCTCAGTACCCAAACTATAAGAATTGGATATTTTTAATGTGGGATGCCTCTTTCATTTTTTTACAGATATAAACTGTGCCCATAAAACAGCAGGTTCAATGAAAATGGAAGATATGAAGCACAAAAAATGAAATATACTCTTATGCAGAACTTCCAGTATTGGATTACATCACTGCAAAACACCAATGAAGTCCAGAATTTAAAATCGTAATTAGATAAGAAGGATGAGAACATTCAAGAAGAAAGAAACCCCACAGAGAAAAGGTTAGGATACTTTATATTCCAAGTGAAGACAGCTTAACAAAATCAAATATAATCTCTTACAAAAGGATAATTATTTTGTAGAGGTATTTTCAAGATTCAGACTTAAGGCTCAACCAGAACAGTGTCTTTGGAAAGGCCAAACCTGGTAGTCAAGAAAATTTACCACAACATATATTTATCAGAAGATATTTTATTGCCAACAAATACAAAATTGTTGCTCTTGTTCCCTGATGTTTCTTTTTAAAGATAAAGCTTTTCCTTCACCACATTTAAAGACCTGTAAAGACAGCATTGTAAAAAATAAAACAAAAAAGGAAAAATTGCGACAATAAATTAAGTGAGGAGGAGGAAAGCCCAACACACCAAGCAGAAAATGTATTAGAAACAACAGAAAAGTTATGAAGTGGAATCAAAGTATCATATTATGTTCTCCTTCCAAGAGAAGTTCAGGGGTTTTGCACATGAAATAAAATAGCAGCAAAGAAAAAGGGCAAGTACAAGTGCATTTGTGTCCCACTGGAACTTGTTTTTATTAACCAAAACAGTAGTACTCATCAGAATCAATTGTGGGATGCTTTTGCAGAGGTTGTGAGTCCTCCATAATAGAAGAATCACTGAATTGGTCCATATCTGAAGGGGTTTGGTGACCAGGGACATCATCCACTAAGGTGTCCAAATAACTCCCCACTGATATTCCATCCAGTCCATCACTACAGTCTTGTAAACTGTTACAGCTGCCATGGAGGGATGTCTCCTGACTTTCCAGCAAGCTGCACAGGCTGCCACTCAAACTGCTACCTCTGCTGGCAATGGCCTTCTCTTCAATCATCCACTTGATTGATTCAATACTTTCATTGATGATGAGTAGCTGGCGCATAAGCTTCACATCAGTGGCTCGGAGATTAACCTACAAGGCAAACGTGATTAAAAAATTACTCTTTTTTTTCAAAATCAAAGTCTAAATAGCAGACTGAAGGCAATGAATGGGTTAAAAAAGCACACAAAAAAATCCACCTTTCACATCTAGGACAAATCTATTTAAATAATTAGTAAAAAAAAAAAGTAAAAGTTTTGCTATACTAACACTTTCAATGAAGTTCAAGTGGGAACCTGATCAGGCTACATAAGCACTCCATTAACAGGAATGCTAATCAATGACAAGACTTGTACACACGCTAGTACAATACTATTTAGATGAGAAACACAGCTGCTTTGACAGCTCTTGGGGATAGCTTTTCATTATTCAGAGAAGCAACACAAAAACCCATTTCCATTTACAAGTACTCTGAGCTCCTTAGCAGATCCAGGCAGCTAAATATTCACCCCAAATTTCCCTTATCATGGTTACTTGCGTAACGTAAAATTTTCAGATGTGCATCATTTGGAAAAAGGCTTGTGGACTTTTAACTTTTATTCACACTACACCTGAGTTCATGTTGCAAGCTGGTGTATAAACATCTGAGAGCTGAAATATTGAACTTACTGAAACTGTAAATTTCAAATTATTTAAACCCATATTAGATGAAGGTGTTGAGTTCACAGTCGACCATTTATTATAGATTAACATAAAGAGCAACAATTTGCAAAAAATAACTAAATAAAAAATACACATTAAGCACAAAGTCCTACTTTCCAACTTAGTTGTGGTGGTTGATGCATACACACAGAAGTGTTAATGGTAAAGTACAGTGGAATATTACAGTGCTGCTTTTCACAGGTATATTTAAGTTAACTGACTTCACGTTTTCCTTAACAGACAAACTTTATAAGCCACTGTTTCACTCAAATTTCCACAATGAGATGACACATAAAGGTGAGGCCTAAGGGTTTTATTTGTTGCTTCTTTCTTTTCAACTGAAACATCACAAGTATTGGCAAAAAAATCTGTGTGACCTCCTATTCATCACATGAAACAAGTAAAAATACTGACAAGGTAGTCTGACAAACTGAAGATGATTCTGGGTTTGACTATAAAATCAAGTGTGGAGAGCCAGAAGCTACTTCCATCCATACTGTGAGAAAATAATGGTAGTTTGTGACCTAATCAACTCTCCAGCCCTTTCCAACAGGACCTCAGGACTACTAAATGTTTGACATCACAACAGACACACTTCCAGTCTCATCACTTCCAGAGTAAGAACTCCACCTAGATGAACTTTTGCCACAGTGCCAACATAGGGCATGCATGCTTAAAACCACTGGAAAGCAGACACTAGTCATTTCAGATTAACTCATAGAGATACCATGTCTAGCATGTAATTTGTGTCATCTTATCACATGTTCTTACATCCTCTAATTGTACTAATCAAGCATACTACATGCAGATATGTCACTGCTTTAATACATGCATTTGGAAAATACTTTCCCTTGTATATAATTTGAGTGTACCTCTCTACAAAAATGTGTGCCATAATGTCTGATACACACACATGTATTACATGCTTTTCTTCCACAGGGCACTAACATTTTAACTTTCAGATTATTAATTCAAAAAAGACAATACAGTATATCGAAAATTTGAATGTCTTCACTCAACTGAAAAATAAGGAAGGAAACAAGTAAGATCTGTTATGCCAGATGGTAGACATTTTATGCTGTTCTCCGAGTCCACAATTATTATACAGAAATATAGCACCTGTATTGTTCATCCAGAATGGACTGGAATGCAACCAGTATTCTCAGGAAGCAAAGATCGTATCTTGTTTTGCCAAGAGTACAATCTGGACATGGCTCTTTCCATACTCAAATGCCATCTTCTCAATATCCTAAATTCCACTGACCTGGTTCAGTTGTTCAAAAAGTTATGTTAATGCATTTTTATTCTGTTAGATACTGCAGAAGATTGTACTGGCTCTGGCTGCAATGCTTCTTAGCAGCCATTATGGTGCTGCGTTCTATATCTGTGACTAAACAGTGTTGACAGCATACCAGTGTTTAAGCTGTTGCTGAACAGTGATCGCACAGCATCAAGGCCTAAGCTGTTGCTGAACAGTGGTCGCACAGCATCAAGGCCTTTTCTGTTTTTCACTCTGCACCCTTAGTGAGTAGGCTGGGGCTGGGAAAGATGTTTGGAGAGGACAGAGCTGGGACAATTGACCAGAACTGACCAAAGGGATATTCCCTGCCATATAATGTCCTGCTCAGCAATAAAATCCATGGGTTTGGTCTTTCCAATGTAGCTGTTGCTTGAGGACTGGCTGGGCATAGGTCTACTGGTGGGAGATGGCGAGTGACTGACTTTGCATCACCTGGGTTTTTTCTTTCTTTCCTTCACTTATTAAACTGTCTCTATTACAACCCATGAGTTTTTCTCGCTTTTGTTCTTCCAATTCTTTCCCCCGTCCCACTGGAGAGGGAAGTGAGTGAGCAGCTGGTGGGTGCTTAGTTACTGGCCAGGATCAACCCAACACAAAGATTTCAAGCTTTGCTAGTAACATACTGCGTAACTCTCACATGTATTCCCAGTCTCCCTCCCCAGTCCCCAGAATGACTTCTGTATTATCCTCAATCCAATATCACAGGATTTAACATAGCTAACCTGGTCCTGTGCAAAATAGCTTTACCATTCACAGTTTTAACAATATTACCCATCTATCATTGTTTCAGATGTGAGATTCTGAAAACAGATTGACCATTTCATAGCCCTTCTGCTGAAGCCAGTTCTTCTACTCCTACCCATAAATCACATAAACCATTTGCTCAGCAATGAGGCTGTCATGAAAGCAGCAAATTACCTGACTTCTCAAATGCAACTACAGACTTCAGTAGCTTGCTGAATATAAGCAAGCTTGGAGACAGCAAATTTCCCAAAAGACTGATTAGGGAAATGTTTAACAGAACTAGCACCAATATGCCTCTAATGAAACAGTCCCCTTTTAGATGAAGTAGACATCTCATAGATTGCAGATTCAGTTCACAGGAAATCATTTTTTGCTCTAAATACACCCACAGCTTCAGCATTTCTGTGGAAAAGCCTTACTGGGAGTAATTGCTTGCATTCCTGCATACTTGAGTCCTCCCCTTCCAAGCTACCATGTCATCCCAAGTCTCCCATATCAAGAGTGTGCTTTTCCTAAAGCAGACATTAAAAAGTAGTCCACCAAGTGTCATCTTTCTTTAATATGGTTTACTTCAGCATCTGCTTGATAACACAAAAATGTCACTATGACATTTCTTGCTTCTTATCTGTTTTAGCCCAGATACAATCACATTAGATCGTACTCACTTACATACCTGCAACCCATGTACAGTAAAGAAGTCAGTTCCAAGATGGTTCAGCTAAAGGGACTAAACACAGTAAAATCTCATCACATTTGACAGCTCCATTTGTTATGCACAGTAACAGGTGCATTTTTGAAATAATCTAAACAGAGTGTATCATAGCTAATACAGGTATTTCAGAACAGTTTCTACAGTTGCTCTTTGAGTTAAAGGTAGAGCACAGCACCACAACAGGGAAGGTGTGTATGAGTATGCATCAGTCCTCAGCACAAACTTGTGGGGTACAGAGGAAACGAATTGTGACAAGAGAGCAAAAAAGAAATTCTGGTTACAGGCTAGCTTTTATATCTTTTTGCCTAGTTTGTATAATCATAATAGTGCAGATCCCCAGGAAGGATTGTAAATGTTTAACATTAAATAGCTAGTCATAGCAAGAGAAAATAATGAAATTAAAGTGACAGTGAGCATCTTTCAAGTAACACAGTCTGGCAGCACAGCTGAACAGAACAGATTAGCATTCAGACACAACCAGATCTTAAGTCTGGAAGGGATAACTGGCCTAAACACCTGGCTGTGCTTCTCTCCCTCTCATTCTGGTTGTTGTAACAAGATATTTCTTCCTTACAAAACTAGCCTTGCTTATGGTCTTCCATAATAACATCTGCAACATTGTCATAATTTATTCAAGAGAATTTATATATATACAAACATACGGACATCTGTATACATATATGTATGCACAGATCTATACAAATATTCATGTTATTTTTATAGATACAGTGTTTTTAAAAAAGGGCTTGACTAGGTTATTGGTTTTAGGATAAAACTCTTAATGACCAGGGCTGTTAACAAAGACAATTATCGCTTCCTGGCAGTCACCCAAAATAGCGCATTAGCTATCCCTAGCTTGGTCACGTTGCTTTTGGATCAAAGTCACACTTGCACTCTGACTACAGGCAGAATGGACTTGTGTTTTCCTGCTGCATGTTCTGCAGACACAGCTTTCAGTCGGCTCCAAACACAGTGGGTCCCCTTCCCCTCCAAAAATGACAAAACTAAAAATTCTGTTCAATATATCCTTTTAATCTGTCAAAGTGGTCCACAACTCTAGTTCCTTTCTGCAGATTACTTTCTTTTTGATTCCTGGGGTCACATGCTGCTGCTGCTGCTTCTTTTAACTACAGGAAGTCTGCAGGGATATTAATGGTAACCACAAAATGTGGTCTGAGGAAAAGATACTCCTAAGTTTATTTTAGGTTTCATTTTTTCCTCAACACCTTTATGTTGTGTGTTGTAAAGAGCCCACTAGAAAAAGGAAAGGAAATGAGTGAGCCTGAATAACAAGGTGTTTCCTTCAAGACAAATCTTTTAGCCAGAGCACAGTAAAATAAGTCACTACAAGACACAAAACCTTAAACTTACAGGTTAAGGGATTCAGGGAGCTATTTAAGTCACTCAGCTCAGAAGCTCTGCTCTGCACAGGATCTCGAGCAGGACTCAAACACTAACCTAGGCTTGGCTACTATGGAATGTGCATTTCTAAAACAGTATAGTTTTGGACAGATATTCCACAACAAATAGAAGCTGGATGGAAACTGTAGCAAAATATGGTACCCCACTGAAAGCCACTCAGAAGTTCAGCACGTGAGCCATCTTGCAGAAGAGAATCAGCACGTGAAGAGGTTA